TGTTTTTTTTTTAAAACGATCTGTTGCCTGACTCTTGCCTTCTGTCGTTGCAGTAGTAGACATATTTATGGATAGTTAAGAATATAAGCCTCTTAGAAAGTTTACTCCTTTTCCTAGGTTACGGTGGAGATATGTGGATCATGCATTTCATCACTGTATTGAAGTCTGAACGTATCCTTCACCTTTTTCACATAATATAAACTCATTAATAGATAGAATACAGTTCACTTTTAAGTTAGAAAACAAATAGGATGAGTTAGCAGTCATTGAATGTGAAGTAAAATGACAGTACGATGTAGGGTTAGATACTGGCGTTTAATAGGAAACCATGACATTTTAATAAATACTTAGGCATTCCATACATAGTCGATAAAGTTAGGTTTGGTTAAATGTCCGTATAATCATGCCAGGAACCTAACTAGTGGTCAGTGAGAAGATTTAAATAATGAAATCGAAGAAATAAAGAAAATATTACTAGTGAATAACTCACTTCCAACAGAATTTATTCAGGAATATATGAAAAACCATGGAAAAAAGATTTGCAATGAAATTAACGTAAAAAGTGTGGAATTTTAAAGTCTGTGAGTTATTTATTGTTTTCCATAGTTCCTAGATGAAGATAGGGCTTTAGCCTCACATCTCCGTTGCCTCTGATTCTCTCCCAGCGGTTTCATCACCTAGATCCACGTCTGCCCACATGCTCTCATCTCCCCTTCACATTACCACCTCCATGTCACCCTCTTACTGATGAAAAACTCGCTGCTTCCGATTCGGGTCCCACTCGAGAGAATGAGAGAGCCTGGCGTGTGATGTCACTCACTTGATGGATTGTCTTCTCAGTGCATGGCCAAGCCAATCCACCTTCATTTATTCCTGCACGTTCGTCGCACAGTTGGTTCCTCGTAGGTTGTTTCATTCGTTCCAAGAGAGCTTTCACTATTGCCGATATTTTCCGGCCGGTCATCCAATCTTGAGTAGTATTGAGCAAAGACAGCTGTTGATGAAGTTCCGAAGTCCTTTGGAAGTGGCGTTTATGATGCGGTCTCTGATCCGTAAAGTAAGTAGCACTGACTGACTTTACATTGGAGTTGAAAATCCGGATCTTATTTTTCATGCTGAGTGCGGTTGATGTACACACAGACTTGAGAGTAGTGAAAGCTTGTCTTGGTTTCCATATCTTCCTCGCCTTGAAGATATCCTCATCAGTTCCGTCCGCTTGTAGTTGAATCGATGCTTCCCAGGTTCGTAGGTAGGTAGAGGAGGTTGCTTCCTTCTGAACCCTCCTTCCGTTCATGATGGCTGATCTTTGTCTGATGTTGTTGCTGAAGTTACGTTGGTCGTCACCTGGCTTCAACACCTCTGTTTTCTCCATGTTTACCTGAAGGATGTCATATCTTTACTGGATGCTTCTTCTGACAACTTGTTGCTTTTCATTTGCATATCTTCCATTTTGTGGGAAATCATCGGTGAAGTCGAGATCATCCAGGCATATTGTGTGAGTACATTTTATGTCTGACTCCTTGTTGCCTACCGCTTTCTGTCGAATTATCCAGTCTACCGCAATCACCAGGAAAATAATTGGAGATATTAGGCTGTGCAGTACTACCGTATAAAGAACGAAAATCAGAGGCCTTATGTAGGATTCCCAATAAACTTGGAATTAGTCAGGTTGGCATTCAGCCAACGAATCCACTAACTCTCTTACAGATAATCTTTTGTCAGCTCAAAGATCCAATAGATTCAATTAAAAAAGAAAATGTGGCTTATCAAATACCAAGTTGTGCTGACTGTGAGGTCAGTTGCATAGGTCAGTCAAACTGGTAGATCGGGATCAACTACATTATTGGAGCATAGGAATTTAGATGCGCCTAGAATGATTGACGCTGCAAAGTGAGTTGAATAACCTAGAAAAAAGCTCAGCCTTTGCTGTGGATTTCATTCACATGTATGCAATCACCAAATAGGACGCGACAGAATGAGAATATTAAAAGGCTAGATTGTGAGGTGGAGAGACACAGACTTTAATCACTGAAGGATAACATTCTGACAAGTTATTTATTTATTTTACTCTAAAAACATCTTATTTCCTATTTTATCCACTAACAACACTTGTCTTATTTGCCATCCTATTATATTTTATTGGTAACACTAATAGTGGTTCTGTGCCACAGAAGACAAAAGAAAATATTATGAAGCTATGGTAAGTGAAGCAGAACAAGCTGTTGGAGAAGGAGACCTCACCACACTCTACCAAACAACTAGTTACCTATCGGGAAAAAGTTAGACACAGATTAGGCCAGTGAAAGATGACAATGGAAAGTCAGTCATAAAAGAAGTGGAGCAAAGGAAACACCGGGCTGAACACTTCAAAAGACTTCTAAATCGACCTCCATCTACAACGTGCCCAATAATACGAACATTAGAAGCAGAACTACCAGTGAACATCAACCCTAAGACGAGAAAAGAAATGCTGAAGGCCATAAAGATCCTAAAGGCTAGAAAGGCAGTAGGACCAGACGGAATGCACTCAGAGGCATTGAAAATGAACCCAGAGACATCAGCGGACTTGATGACACGAATACTGAAGAAGGTGTGGAAAGAAAGCAAGTTACCTGTGGATTGGAAGGAAAGCTACCTACTCAAACTGTCAAAGAAAGGAGATTTAAGTCAATACAAGAACTGTAGCGGAATTATGCTCTTATCCATCCCAAGCAAAATACTAATCTGCATCATCCTGTAGAGAGAATCAAATACGCTCTGGATGAAAATCCTCGACGTGAGGCTGAAGCTCTATGTTCCTCTAGGAACAAGGGAAATAATAATGATAATAAAAATGTTTCCGAATGCACTTTATTTTATATTGATTTCATTCATCAAATGTGTAATCGCATCAATTTTCACTCATATACATAAATGAAGCAAGAAAGGTATGTGTGAGTAATGCCTTGATGTAATTATGAGTGGTAATAAACTGAACTCGAAACGTGGTTATAAGAAAATATCACTGTGTGACTTTAAAATGTTATCCATAATGGAGTTATTCACTGAAGCTTTGTTTATCATTGATTCAACACTTCACACGTACAATCAGAATGATGCAACGCCTATATCGGAGATATAGAAAGTTGCAACAAACATTGAAGACAAGAGGGAGCGACGGAATATATAAGACGAATTGTAAAGATGCGTGACTAAAATTAATATGATTATGAGTGGCAGGACTTACGCTCGAAACCTTGTCATCCAATTATTACAACTGCATCATCACTGTCTGATATTTAAAATAACCTTATTTTGATGTGGTTGTGTTCTCTGAGCTGGATAGTTAGCTCATTGGGGAAGCTCTCATTAACTCCTACTAGGCAACATCTTCAGTCCAAACTTCAAGTTGAATTCAGTTGAACTTTTAGATTTCTCCACTAGTTTATTAGTCATCTCTCCTGATGGGTGACCTTGAACGTCGTGATTTTTTTGATTTAAGCTTGATTCCACACCCTATTTTTCGGTACAAGTATGGAATTTTCAGAATGTGATATTGGTAGCAGACCGACCATAGATATCAGGTGTGTGTCGGCAGGGGATCGAACCGCGGACTATTTGCATAGTTGGCGAGAGCCCTAACCACTGCGCCACCGACGCACACACCCTCTAGCTTACTTGTATTGGTATTGGTGCTGATTGTTTCCTTGATCTGAAGATTGACCCGTTTGTGTGTGAGGTTTCCTTTTTATTGGTTGGTAAATTTTGTCTATCTCGATGTGTCTATTGATTGACGATTCACTAGAATACCAGGCAGCCTTCTAAAAACTCTCTAGCATTCCTGGTGTTTCCTCTGTCGAATATTTGAACTCTGGTTGTCCCAGTCGAATTGATGTCCATGGTTGTCTGTATGTAGGGATATGAGTGAGAGAGTGGATGTCATGTCTTTTGACGGCTAGTTTGTGATCATGGATACAAAGATGAAGGGGACGTCCACTTTAGCCAACGTAGTGTTTTCGCAGTCGCTGCAAGTTATTTTGTAGACGATAATGGTTTTATCTTCTTCTCCTGTTGAGTCTTTTGGTTGACATAGAGCAAGCCAGCTGAATGAAGTGATTTTGTTGGTTTGTCTGCAACGTCAATTCCTAAAGGTTTGAAGAGTCTTGCAGTGATTTCTGAGATGTCGTTTATATATGGTAGGCCGATTTCCCTTGTGCTTTCCTTGGGTCCTTTTGGTTTGATAAGTTGGCTTGGGGGTAGACGTCTTTTGATGAAATTCCATGGATATTCATTCTTTTGGAAGACGTCGATGAGATATCTTTCTTCAAATCTCCGTAAAATAGGAGTGGTGCATTGAGTCCTGGCTGGCCCTCTTCAGTAGTGTTCGTATGCAATTCCTTTTGTGTGTTATTGGATTGTAGTATATCACTACATACAGACAACCATGGACATCAATTCGACTGGGACAACCAGAGTTCAAATATTCCACAGAGAAAACATCAAGAATGCCAGGCCATTTTTAAGGAGGTTGCCTGGTATTCCAGTGAATCATCAATCATCAGACACATCAAGATAGACAAAGTTTATCAACCGATAAGAAAGAAACCTCAAACACAAGGGGTCAATCTTCAGATCAAGGAAGCAGTCAGCACCAATATCAATACAAGTAGGTTAGAGGGTGTGAAAACACACAAAAACAACCAATCACGACGTTCCAGGTCACTCACCAAGAGAGATGACTAATAAACTCGTGGAGAAATCTAAAAGTTCACTTCAATTGAACTTGAAGTATGGGCGCTAAAGATGTTGCCTAGTAGGGGTCAATGAGAGCTTCTCAAATAAACTATCCAGCTCAGAGAACACAACCACATCAAAATCATCCATCTGAGCTAAAAACGCTTCTCCATCATATCTAAATAACATTATCTCTAATATGGAATTACATTCTACCACCATAATGCTCAAGTTCTACACTTACATTAAACAGAAAATACATCCATATTAATTCGTTAATTAATTACCTTGACCATGCAAATGATTTTGTATGTTCATCATTAAAAATTGTTTTAATTTGTCCTTTATTCATAATCATTAAACACTGATCATTTTTTGTTTTATTCACTGCACTCTGCAGTGTTGAATTTTGCATTGAACAGATTAAATATTGTCTGGGTAATTCAAATTTCGGCGTATATCTTGCAGATAATTCATTTTTTGGTATATCTATAGACATCCATAATAATTCTGAATTATTTAGTTGACTTGAATAGTTATTACTGTTATGTATATCAGTAGTATGCAGAGTAGTTTGATTATTATTATTATTATTATCTGTCAATGATCCGTGAATTGAAATAACTTTTATAAAATTCTGACTATTGACAATATCTACATCAATTTTAAAGTGAAATAAGTGATGATGAATAACAAAGTAGATTGGATTAATTGATGAGGCGAAACCATATTTTACCGCCTCTGGACTACTACTACCTCCATACACCAGTTGTTCATCAACATGGATAAAACCTGTCGGTGTAACAGAGAATTCAAGCGTTCCTGTTGGATAAAAGATTATATCGAATAAATAATCATAATTGTATAAACTTGATATACTTCGTAGAACAAGTGAGTGGCTAACAGTACCAAAACCAAAATTAGTATGCTTTGATTTCTTTGATGAATTCTGATCTGGATTCCCTGGCGTATTTTGATTCTCTACTCTGCTAGTGTCTGTAGAGAATTCAAAATGTCGTCTTACTGGACCACCATATGGGCCTGCTTTCCATTCAAACAGGCAGATGGCATTTTTAATCAGTTTAGATCCAATTTCACCGGATGGAATCAGTTGGACAGGTAGGTAGATAGCATTCTGAGGGCAATCTAAACCTGGACTAAGTTCTGAAGTCATACCGCCAATACCATACATCGATTCCAATGAAGTCATTGTTTGCATAAATGGTGATCTACCCCAGTAAGCGGTCACTGTTTCATCGAGTCCAGCTCAGAGAATAAACTTACATTTGCATAATATACACCATAGAGTCGAATGCCTGTATCTCGTCTCAGGGTTACATGAAAATCCCATTTCTCATATTGTATTCGACGTTTATTTATACGAATAGGATGCATCATTTGAGGTGGAGATGTTGATTTCTGTGCACTTTGGTCAGATCCAGTTTTAGATGATTTTCTGTACTGTTGGGATCAGGTTTTAATTGATTAGGATACATATCGATAAATTGTCGTTTAATGATTTTCAATTCACCTAGCTGGTATTTATTGATTAGATCGTTAAGGGATGAAAACAGATGACCTTGAAACCAGACACGTAATAAGGTCCATTCATTTGGATTTAAGGATGTAAGATCAATCTGTAAGTTTCAAGAAAAAAAAGCAAAAAACAAACAAAAATTGATCAAAACCATAAAAATAGAAATGAACATACTTCATAGAAGGGAAGTTAGATTCAGACGATACGATTTCGAAGGGATTTTGAAATAATTCCAGCCGTTAGAGTTTCGTGAAGAACTAACATCCCCTAGAGAAAGAGAGAGAGAGACAGAGTGGGCTCATCAAAAACCAACAAGGAGCAATTCTTTGAGACATGTCTGCGATGCGACCCCACCACCCTAACTGGGATCGGATCCGAGACTTTCAATGACCTCTGAATTCTAAATTTGTCATCTTGTGTGAAATAACTCCATTATGGATAAGATTTTATCTTGATAAATCACACAGTGTTGTACAGTAATATTAAATGATGACGTTTCGAACACAAACTATTGGTCGCAATCATATCAAGCTACTCACACAACTTTTTTTCTTTCATTTATATACATATGTGGAATGGATTAGATATTGGAATAAAATCAGTATGATATGATGTACATTCAGAATTGACGAATTACAATTAGATGGGAAATAAGACGAATGTTTTTATAGTCATAATAAGTTACTTGTTAGATTGTTGAGATGTGTTTGAGTTGAAATAGAATTTTAAGATAATTTATTATCCTCTTCTGATTTGACTTGAGGTAATAATATCTTCTATATTTCTAGTATTTGCATTGAGTCATTTCTCTTGCATGTGTTGCGTGTAGACTCGATGAACAAGGATTCCATAATCAATCTCTCTCTCCACCTACCTATATTCTATATTACTTTTAGAATTTTAACCCTATCCCACCCTATTGTGTGATTGTGTGTTAATGCATGAAGTGCAACAGCTGAGCTTTTTCGTAAATTACTTATCTTTTCAGGGTCAACCATTCTTACCTTACGTAAATTCTTAAGTTCTGACAATCTGACTACCCCTGACCTACTAGTTTGACCTATGTAGTTGACCTCGCAATCATTTCAGGGTATTTTGTAAATTATATTATTTTCTCTAAGTGGGTCCACCGGTCTCTTTTAGCCTACAGAGCTTGTCTCTGAGTGAGTTTGTAGGTTTACATGCCACTCTAATTCCTGCTTTATTTAAAATCCTACGTTGGGCCTCAGATGTCCCCTCCTTATATGGTATAACAGTGACCTTGTTGACCCAATAAGACAAAATAATGTTATTTACAAATTATCCTGCATTTACTGTGAGGTCAACTACATAGGTCAAACTAGTAGGCCAGGGGTAGTTAGATTATCAGAACATAAGAATTTAGCTAAAGGAAGAATGATTCATTATAAATTATTTAAATTATTCCAGGAAGTTCGTAACACCTACGGTCTGCAAACCTATAAAGTAAGAATGGCTGACCCTGAAAAGATAAGTAATTTAGAAAAAAAGTTCAGCTATTGCACTTAACGCATTAACACACAACCACATAATAGGATGGGTAAAAGTAATATAGGTAGGTGGAGAGAGAGGTTGATTACAGAAATTTGCACTGAGGCTTAAGCAAGTCAGATCGTCAAGTCTTGTAAGTCTTGTCAATTATAAAAGTTACAAATCCTTAGATACACAGAAGCTTGGACACTTTATAATCACCCCGATAAACTAATCAGGAGTTATATATGTAAGAAATTGTAAGAATAAAATTAGTACTAATATTAATAGTAATAAGAACAGAATGTAGAGGCTTTCAAAGCTTGTCTCGTAGTTCTACGTTAAAAAACTTGTAAATTTATTCACCTTAAGGAATTTAAATAAAGCAGAATAAACTGGTACCATCACATCGTTTATTTCGTTGGCTTTTCATCAACTGCCTACAGACCAAAATCATTATGTAGTATATCTACAGAACCAATTTAACATACTTGCACGGAGTTCATTTTTAAACAAAAATCAATCCATCAATATATTCATACAGTAATTATATATATATATATATATTTATACAATACTAAACACTATTCCGAACAATAATGACCATCCACATTGGAAAATTTCGACATTACGTAATCAAATGAAAGAGAAGTGGAAATACCCAGTTACCAGGCTGACAAGGGAAGACTGATAACCACTTTTTTTTGAACACACATATCAGGTTTCAGACGCTTGATGGGAATCGCTTCGGGAAAAACTTGAGGGGAATTGAACTCTTTTGCCTAATGATAATTTTGAATAATCTTGTGACAGCCACCTCATGACCCGTGTTAAGGAGATGCCTGGTGATGACGCTGTTTAAAGCATTTGCTCCCTTAGGACGTAAGCCTTTTGTTACATGTTCAGAAAATTGAAGATATGCCTTTCTTTCTGTTCTTCCAATTTAACTGCTACCACAGAGTTAACATGAGAAGGATATCTATCGATTTTTGATTGCACCAAAGAGCAAGTTGTTTGATAGACGGGGACGAGTTTAGCTCCAGGATAGGCTATGGCTGGTGATGTACTCAGACTTTTGTTGATCATCGCTGCAATGTTTTCACCTTTATAATCAACCTGAATGTAGATTGGCTTTTTGCCCACTGTGATTTGTTTCACATTTGTGACTTCAGATCTTCCGTACTTGCTGATGAGTCTTTGAGGGTAAGCATTGCTCTTCAACATCTTTTCAAGAAACTCAAATTCTTCCTCTAATTTCTCTATACAGCATAATCGTCTAGCGCTATAATACAGAGAGTCTTGACTGGTGCTCGTTTATAGCTATTTGGACAAAAACTAATAAAGTGTAGGTATTGTCCTTTCCACGTCAGCTTTCGATAAACTGACTTCTGAAGACTATCGTCTTCTAGGCGTTGAATGGCAATTTTGAGGAAGTGGAACTTTCCATCACTTTCATATCCGATGGTAAATTCAATATTAGTGTGTGCATCATTGAATAATCTGAGTAAGCGTGAAGCATGAGTTTCATTGTTGCACACTACAAATGTGTCATTGACATATCGACAATAGGAAGTTGTTTCGTTACTTGTATGCTTCAACTTTGTTCTTTCAAGCTTGAACATGTATATACCTGCTGAAAAGGGCCAAGTGGACTGCTCATAGCTACACCATCTATTAGGCGGTAAAGAGCGTTGTCAAATAGGAATCTCACATCCATCTTACACATTAACAGTGTGCATTTGAATTCCTGCTCTGGCAGTAGATAATTCCCCAAAATTATTAGTCTACAGAGTGCATCATTTTACATTAGGAGGCTGATTTGCATTGTTTAAGTCGACTTGTCATTACCTAAACGGCTTGTGGCCACTTATATACACCATTTCAGTAAGGCTGTTGGGTTGCGTTCATTCATTCTTGCACTATGCGCTTGATCTCAAAATCTATTCCGTATTTTTGACAATTAATTCGGTAGTTTGATTTACCTTTGATCTTCTCAGAACAGTTACTTTAGGAGTTGGGGTGGAGGGTGGAATAAGGTCTTACATTAGTAAATATCGTATTTTGCCTAAACGTCATCTCTGTCATCTCCTTAATCATAAAATGTATCATCTAAGCCAGGGTAATTCGAATTGATATATCAGTATGTACTTTGATGAATAATATTCACCCTTCTTCTTCAACCGAATCAGAACCATAGTTTGCGATGATAGTTCTTTTTCCAAACACAAGAGAAGCAAAAGTGGTATCACACCAATGTCACACAAATTGTGAGAGCGAAATATAGAATGTCCAGACAAGTGTGTGAACAATCAATAGACAGTTTAACATGAATGCTAATTTAATGGAGTATCGATCATATATACTAGCAAAATATAGCAGACTGTCAACAAACTATATGGATTATGTCAAGCAACGGACTATCAACAAAACTTTATATAAGGGAATATACATTGTTAAAGGAGACAGGTTCATCAAGTGAAATGGTCACAGACTAAGAGAGCAACAAGAGAGACCACCATACAAATTACAACTGCTCACATCCAGTCGATGATATATTACCAGTTGAGACTGCTACTTGTGTTGTTATTGACCTGGCTATGGTATTGCATACGTGTATGCTTGCTGGCTTCAAGGTAAATTAGCATGTTTGAGGAGTATTAATTTTCAAAATCCTAAGGAAACTTGTTATTGTTGCTGTTATCAGGGGAATTTTTCCCATGTGTGACTGGAACTCACACTTTTTACGAACTGACGCCTTAAACCAGAGTTTTAAACCTCTCAGCCGTTACACTAACCAGCTTAGTGGCCAGTAGATAGTTGACAGTGAGGTTTAATAATGATAATAATAATTCATTGAATTGAATTTTTGATTTTCCCGTCCATTGATTGAACCGAAGTGCTCGGTCTCAGGTTGATATGTCTGTCGGCTTCTTGTGCAGATGCTTCGACGATAATTAATATGACCCGTTGCAAAAGAGGTGGCTCTTGTGGCCTAAGTGGTCTAGTGGATAACGCTTTGGCGTTCGAAACTATGGGTACTGGGTTCGAGCCTCGGTGGGAACATCATCACTCACTGAGAAATGCAGGTACATCCAGATGACGAGTCCTAAATAGGACGAAATGCGCATCCTGGATTCCACTGCTAGCCACCATCCACCAATTGTATAATAATAATTCACTTTTTTCCAAAAACAGTACTTATAATACAGACTAGAATTCTTAGCGCTTGTCACAATATTGCATCTGATTTAATCAAAATATAAATAAAATTAAAAAATCAAACAAAATTAACCAGAGGAATTTGTCCCCGTTTACAATATAAAGTCAAAAATATTCTAAGCATGAATTGAAAATATTAAATATAATAATAATATTAATAATAATAGTGAGTTTGCTTCAAACAGTATTGTCGATTCAGTTTGGAAATTTTAGCATGTTATAGATTATTGAATCTAATGTTCTATTGATACAGCAGCGTGATGAGGGGAAATATAAAATTAACAGTTATTCACACAGCTTAAATGATGTTCACACTTATGAAAAGAAAATAAACAAATAAAAACAAGAAAATTGAGAGAATTTCATATATAAGAAATACAATAACAGCAAAGTTTGGTACTGTAAGGTTTGAAGAAATGGTTTATTTAGTAGTGCAAAGAAGGTTAGTTAGTTCATGCCTAGCACTATTTTTATCACATAAAGTACGTGACGCCAAATATGGTATAGTGGAATTTTTATACTTGGACATGTGCGTGCATAAAGTCTTCTGAAAAGACTTCTTGTTTTACCTGAGGAGACACAAGGCTGGAGATGCTGGTAAAGCGGGTGCTCAGAGTCTGACAAAATTCTTTTATCGAATTTGTTTCATGACATCAAGTGCCTATTAGTGACGATTTCAACGATATGGCTTAGTGGCAAATCACTTACCCTAATGACAGCTAGTCTTCAGAGGTCTACAAAGTATGACGTAGTCTTTTTTCAATTAATCCAGGAAAGAATAAGGGTGAACAGTCAAGAACAATAGGTAAGATACAAGAGTTGACAAACTGTAAGAGGAGGAGAGGTCGGGTTATGCCTGAGTGTCTTAACGTCTTAATGTAATAAGTCAGATGAAATATTCTTTAGAAATTGCTAAGACATAGGAAGACCAGTGTAGGTCAGAAGAAAGAATTAATCCAAGATACTTAACTTCATACTTGATTTGTATATCAGTATCATCAATTCCGCAAGGATCATAGGAACTGACGGCTTCATTTAACTCTCGTTTACATCGGAAACTGAAATTAACAGTCTGACACAAGAATTAGAATGATTGACTGACTCTGATGACAAGTCAAGGGATGTTAGAAAATGCTTTTTACGAACCAGAAATGATTCAACGAAGAAATTTACAGATTTCGATTAATCTACAGTGTAAATGCAGCCTAAAATCATCACCAGAAGTTAGAAATCATTTACAAGTCACTGAATACTATCCAAAATGGATGAATAGCCAATGAGTTTAGTCTCATTATCTGAAGATCCTAGGCTCCATCTCTGAAGTCGAAGTATTGTGACAGTAGAAGACAAAAGACTTGTTAAAGGAATGTTTATTTGGAGTTTGGTATCTCTATATATAGCCATACTGTCTACACCTTTTCTTAAAATCACAAACTGCACAGATCTTCCATGTTGTGCTACTTCTGTCTTTCCTGTGTTCTGTTCTTCTTTTTGTTCCTCTCACATCTCCCATGTATCTCCGCATTGCTGATTCATTTGTTTTCTGTGATATCAAATATATCTCCGTGCAGTTTGATGCGTTTATGCTGATGAATGTCTCTTTAAATACTACTGATAAATATTATCAGTAGGATACGCCACAGTATGTATGCATTGCCGGAAAGCCCTAAAATAGAACGAAACAGGTATCTAATAAATACTTTATGATTTTTCATGATCTCTCACAAACTGATTTTGGTTTCTGATGGCATGTAAACTGGAATTACAAAAGAGTTCGGCGGTAAAACGCGATATTCTGAAGGGATAGGTTTCTTTAACTACCCTAACTGTTGACAAGTAGAAAATGTTTAAGAAACTGGGGTGAAGATGGTAAATTGTACTGGTTGATTAGTTTTACAGTGTGACTTTTGGAAAACTGTAAGCAACTGAAATGATGTGAGCTCAGAATAACAAAGCATTTGAGGTGGGACTTTACATAGATCTCCATTATGGCCGTTTTAAGTTGACAATAATCGCAGAAGGGACATGAGTTCCTTCAGGGTTGCAAATATGCCTTGCTGACTAGTGAATGCCAGCTAGCACAAGACCTAGGTCCAAGGCTTCCTGCCGATTGCCTCCAACCATCTAATATCATGAAATCAATGTGCATCGTGATGGGGAGCTACCCAGAATGGTGGCCACATCGTAAACCTGATTGATAGAATTCAATCTGCACCAAAGTAAGGACTAGACGCATCTCAGTTGTTATTAGTGTCCGATCAAAATTCACAATTTTTTGATCAGCCCTGTACTAGTAGCTATCACCACTCGATGATAGATAAGGATTTCACGCCGGAACATTCACAACCTTTCACCAGATCGAACAACAGTCTCTACTAGCAAGAACCTGATTGTCTCGAGCCATTGATGTCTGTTTTGTTTTTCGGAGCAGCGTACAGAAGACCTAATTGTGACTATTCACTTAAACTCACCTGTAAAACAGGGTGGATCTGCAGAATTCACTTTAAGGGCGTCAGGAGATTGATTCTTCGGATAGTTCTTGAGGACTCGCAGTTTTAAGGATAGCAATGAATGCTTGAATGGATCTAATTGGGTGTTTCAATGTGTGCTGTCCCGTCGAACGGATCCGTTAGAAGAAGAAAAATTTGCGATATCCATCGATGTCACTTCAAAATTTCCACTTACCCTCTTTACAGCTGCATTTCGGACGAAATAAAAAATGAGTTTAAGCACAAGATGTCTAGTTTGCTACTGAGGGCAAAACACTTAGATATAGTCACTTTCGAAATTGATTTCTTTGTTCAAGTGGGAAAGCTGTTCCGGTCAAAAAAGTATATCGGTAGCATTTGTGGAGTTCCATGTTGACGAAATGACATTCTAATAATGATCTGTTCTTTGTCAGTTTTAAAGTCAAACTTTTTGAGTGACACTGCCTAACATGTTGACTTACATCATTAAGTCAACCAAGGACTCTCTTCGACCTGTTCTCATTTTAATAAAAATCAATCTGATGCTCGCTAATGAGTGACTGACCGCAAGTAGAAGTTGACTGAAGTTCTCCCAACAAGTGGTGACTTATAGGGTCTATCCTGTCGGAAGTGGGGTTAAACATTCACCCATGTAATTGGTTGGTGGTCATGCAAAATCAAGAATTGTCAGAAGTTGAAATTCATGGATCAAGTCCCAGTGACTGAATGGTGTGCCGGTTTGCGTTGTAACCAGAAGGTCCTGGCTTCGAACCCCGGTGAATCCCAAACTAGTATGGAACAGTACTTCAGTACTCCTTGGTTCTCAACAGTGCTCTAACTGATACCAGTTCGTGATCAAACCTAAACTGGTGATAACTTGAGCTGCTACATTCTCAGTTTTTACTATTATAGTGATTTCAAGTAGTTTGTGGCTAATGAATACCCGTGAAATGAAACGATATCACTTTATATTGCAAATAAAATCCTTCTTGCTTTATCAACATTTACCAAAGAGAACCACATGTATGGTAGATGTAAATGTTGTGAAAACTGTTCATGTGTGTCAGCTGTCTTACCAGCTTTAGCCTGAACAACTGTGATTCCTGTTTAACAGCATCCAAAAGTTATTCAACAATAAGAGTCCTTTAGCCTGAAACTTACATAAAACTGTACATCTACAGGATACTGTATGAAAGGTGCTACCTCTCTGGATAGTCGTATCCAAATGCATCGCCTCCTAGGTGTTTGATTTGTTACTAAAGGTGAAGCAAACGTTGGAATCAGACAATTCGGTCTACCATTAACATTATCAATGTTCTTGTAGTTTTGCTTTTGACAAAGTGATTTACTTTCATTCATTGTTCTATTCTTCAATAACCAAAAATTATTCAATGGATTTTGCATAAAATAACTTGCTGAATAGGCATCTTGTATAATATGATCAATTCGATTTGTTTGAATTGTTAAAAAATCCAATATGGCGTTATATTCAATATTTGTTAAAGGTCGTTTATAAAATGGATAAATATTTAAAAGTTTCAATTTGATTGGTTGACTTAATGGACCAACTAAATACTCTCTTATCTGAGGTATTCTTTTGCATGAACCGCACAAAATGATTACTATCCCGTATCTTTTGAAGACAGCTTGTTTCTTAAATAATAATAATCTATTGAAGTATGCTGTACGTTCCTTCTTGTTGGGTATGTGTAAGCTTAAACTCCATAGAATATTCATACGAAACTGTTCTGACCATGATTTATTATCTAAAGAGATATCTTGATCGCTTTTGGTATATGCATAAAAGTTATTGAATTTTAATTTTAAAAATCTGATCACATTTTCGTATTCTTTTTCACTTGGTTCATCAAAAATACCAAAATCTAAATTCACTGGATTTTGTTTTACTGAACTAAAATTTGATTGGTTCAATGTTTCAATTTTTGAAATATTTAAAAGGGAACTGTTGATGAAAGTAGTATCATTAGTTGAAGTAGGAAAAGCTGATGGGAAAGTTAATGTATGAAGTGAATTCAACAAATTGGTATTATTATTATTATTCAAAATATAATAACTTGATTCATCTGAAATGAATCTGTTTGTTGTCATAGTTTCATTTAAGCCATCTTGTTTGATTTGACAGTGTAATGCAGTATAGCATACGAAGAAGATTGCTGGAAAGATTATGCAACACGTTATAATGAGTAATCCAATGAATCTATGGCAAAATAGATGTAAAAAATGGCGATGATTTGCTTATCTTTGTGATATCTTTTGAGTTTAGTAAATAAATCATTCAAATTTGCCGAAAGCGTGAACCACCTGATCATGCATCGGTGGAACAGTGGTAAGGACTCTCGCCGACCATGCACATGGTCCGAGGTTCGATTCCCTGCCGACCCACACCTGATATCTATGGTCGGTATGCAAAATTTGGCTTACCGATATCACATGTTTAAAATTTCATACTTGTACCAAAAATACAGTGAGGATTATTTTTATTTTTTTGATTACAGCTTGATTCCACACTGTATTTTTGGTGCAACTGTGAAATTTTCAGCGTGGATATCGGTAGCCGAAATTTTGCAGGCCGACCATAGATATCAGGTGTGGGTCGGCAGAGAATCGAACCCCGGACCGTGTGCATGGTCGGCGAGAATCCTTACCACTGTGCCACCGACGCACACGCTTTTTAATTAGTATCGTGCCAACTACAGGCAACGGCACAGATAAGGATGTGAAATTCATCCAGGATCGGAAAAATGAAACAGTCCTTCTCTAATCTGAGATCAATGTGAACACTTATACCGTACTCAACATACGAAACAAGATCCGGATTGTAAACACAAGTATCAAGTCTATGATTGGTTCCTCCAGATTGAGTTACTTAGTGTTCCTGTCCATGAAAACACTCGCAACAAGTTGGAGACTTTCATTATTAGGTGTCTTCATTGGCTCAGTACTGAAGATTAAGTTCAAAAATTCAAAAATTCCGTTTATTGATGTGGAACTAACAAAAAGAGCTGATGGGAGCCTAAGAAGATCGATCCATAGAAAACCTACTTGGAATGGTCAACTAACAAGCTTCTATATCTGGGTACCAACCAATTCAACAAAAGCGAAATTTGATTAAATCACTTGCCACACGCATCCAACTCATCTGTAGTTCCGATGTTCTAGAAACAGAATTAGATATTCTAAGAGAAATCTTCATCCAAAATGGATGCCCAGTTAGATTCATCGACAAAAATATGGAACTAATAATTCGGAGAAACGAAATTTTAATTGCGCCTTAAAAGAAAATCTACATGAACTTGGATTTCAAGGAAGATTTAGCAAGCGATATTCTCAAGAGAAGGATCACATCATCTCTGAGAAGAACATTCTTCGCATCAACGCTAAGAATAGTGTTCTCCAGTCGCCCACTGATCTGCAGAAGCCTCAAGGACAAGATCCCGTATCTAGCCACTTCTGTGTGCATATATCAGTTCACCTGCTGCTGTGGAGCCAGGTACATCGGTCGTTCGACGCGCATCCTGTGCAAGAGGATTCAAGAACACTATCCAGCCAGCATGATTGCGAAAAGGCAATAGTGGTGCAATAAGGAGTGCGATAATTCAACACCTGGTTAACACCGATCATTCCATTTCAACAAACGCCTCCTGCTTCAAAGCAATCTACAGAGTCAAGAATAACCTATCGAAGGCAATACGGTTTCGTCTCCTTTGTATCGCTGAAGCTCTGGCCATTCACATGGAAAAACCGGAGCTGTGCATACAAAAGAAGATTACTCAACCACTTCTACTCTCATAGTAACAATGCTTTGATTTGTTTTGAGTTTTTAATTTTTATTTTGATGACTTAATTTTGTTTTAACTGAATAAAATTGCCATTAAAATTTTCAAAAGAATGGATACTGAACAAAGAGTACTCTTTTCGATATATTCATCATCAGGCTCTACATTTATACATACATTATAGTGAATGAATGAGTTAGTGTTATAAACGGCATTAATGTTTAAATAACATCAAATCAATAATATTGATAAATTACACCTGAATCGCATCAACATAGAATAAGCTGAATGTCAGAAACATTAGGAAAGATCATATTACAAATTCATGAATTTATAGTCTCTACTGAAGGCCGATCAGGGCAGTAGTAGAAGCTGGCTGGACGTGCTTCTTTTGAACACAGAGTGCTGGTTGTTTGAGGCGAATTGCAATAGCCTCTGCTGTTTGGAGCCTGAGGTGCTTCGATGTTTTTGGTAATTTATTTGACACCCGGTATAATATAGAGGAGGATTCATCTACGCTGGCTGGCTTTGTATCCTGTTTGCACCAGATGTTCCAATATTGAACTGTTAATAGTTTTCACTACACCTTTACTTAGCCATGCTGGGAGATGTTCTCGAGTGAGCACGAAAAATCAAGTTCCTAGGGCAACGGCCAATATAACTGGCTCCACGAGCGCAGTTGAATTGATAGATACAATTTGAAGTGGATAGCTTGTCTAGGTATTTCATCTTTCAGTCGAGGAATCACCATCGGTCGTGTAGAGAATAATACGTGTAGTTTGCCGGCAGTAAAAGTTCTTTGAACTGATTTTCTTAATTTCTTCGCAATTATCTCGCTTGGTATATCGCCGATGAATTGTAGTCGTATATAAAGAGGCTTCTTTTTTACAGATAATGAGTGCTCCTTTTCCGTTTTCTTTGTCATGTGTTTCTTGATAAATTTTTTGGGATAGCTATTTTTGATCAAAGTATCATATACAATGCTCAGTTCATCTTCAATTACTTCTTCTTTGTTCAGTATCCATTCTTTTGAAAATCTTAATTTTGTTTGTTTGCCAGCTCTTTAATTGCTTAGAATTCTTGTATCCACTTAGATCTCTTACATAGTTTCGTATTATCTACTTTGTTGTTTCTATGTGCATCCTGAGTAAAACTCACTCATCAAACTATTCATGTTATTACTACATAACTTCTTTTAACAACTGTTTGTGACAACTCATCACCTTTGTTACTACCCTAATTTCACACTAATTTCCTTGACTTTTATTACGAATCTTCAACATTTTTAGTTAAAAGTAACCTTAACCAATTGTAATTTTGTTTGACAAACTTAATGTACACATACGTACAAAAAAACACATATATATTTGTGATTGTACAGCTAAGAAAATGAATTCGCTGAAAAGAGTCTCTTTGCTGAACTACACGTGTTTTCAAGCGATTTGATTGGTTTCAGGATTTCATCATGAGCTGACATTAGTAAGAGAAACATTGAAAAACTGCCTGGGAGTACTGGACAGCTATTTCGTCAGCCTAGTTTGGGACTCTTCAACAGTACGCATCCATCAGGATTCCAACCCAGGACCTTCCGGTTACAAGGCGAGCTCGTATACCATTAAGCCACTGGCACCCGATCCAATGGTCTTTGACTTATAACTTCTGCCATTTCACGACATAGCGCGACCGCTAGCCAATGTCTTCGGCGAGTATTTGTCCTCACACCCGACTTGCTGCACCCTACTGATCACGACTTCCCACTGGAACCAAGGTAACTACCTGCCTGAATAGGGCCAGTCTCCAGTGAACATCTCATTGGTATTCAAGTGTTGGCTTGTGGGGATTTGATTGGTTTCAGGATTTCATCATGAGCTGACATTAGTTAGAGAACCATTGGAAAACCTGGCAGTACTGGAAGTCGTGACCAGTAGGGTGCAGCGGGTCGGGTGTGAGGACAAATACCTGCCGAAGACATTGGCTAGAGGTCGCACAATGTCGTGAAATGGCAGAAGTTAGAATTCAAAGACCATTGGATCTGGTACCGGCGGCTTAATGGTATACGAGCTCGCCTTGTAACCGGAAGGTCCTGGGTTCGAATCCCGGTGGGTGCGTACTGCTGAAGAGTCCCAAACTAGGCTGACGAAACAGCTGTCCAGTAATCCCAGGTGGTTTTCCAATGGTTCTCTAACTACACGTGTTTTGTTTTCATTAATGCCTGGATGGGGATTATCCATGAATATAAGATTAAACTGTAACAAGACGGGTTTTTTAACAAACAAACGATGAACCTATCAGCCAACCTTTATGCAGCTGAAAATAGAGATGGGTAGGACATACGTGATGAGGAGACCGAGTGGAAATCGAATAGAAGACAATTTTAGTTAGTCCTCTGAGGTTGGCAAGAAGGAGACCATATCAAGAGGAAAGGAAAGCTAGAAAAGACAGAAATGAACAGGGTTAAATGCAGGCATACCGGTAAAGTCCTGTGATTTTCTCGGAAACCAAAGGAGTAATAATACTAAAAACTAGTCTCATACAACTGTCTTTTCTCCTTCTCTTTTCACTTCTTCCTGGATCCCATTTTGTTCTATGTGGAACAAGCTCAGACATTTTCGTCCCTTCGAAAAAGGACCAAGGCGTAAACTGAAAGACATTCGAAATACACATGAAATACACATTGCCCTTCGAGAATATAAACAGACGATTAAAACAAAGTCTAACTGAATAAATCTGATTCACATTGTGCTCTGTGTAAAACAAGGTAGCTCAGTGATTTAAACAGGCCACCGTCAAGTTGGCGCTGACAACAGGGGGATGGTAGATCCAGGATGCGTATTTGATCCAATTATTTGTGACCTATCAGCTGGCTGTACATGTATCCCTAGTGAATGATGGTGCTCTCATCAGAACGCAGCACCTATTGTGTCAAATATGAAAGCTTTTGACTCAGGATTCGCTAACTAAGGTACAAAAACACTATCCTGCATAGTTACGAAGAGGTGGAAGTGCAGCAATAAGAAACGCGATCATCCTATGAACTATTCTATTGATGACATTATTAGTTTTACCACTTGAAATTGAACTATGATTATAATCACAAAGATTTTAACGAAGATAAAAGTAATGAAGGTACTTTACCATCTCATCAACAAAAACAGGCCAATCAATGGCGTAAATTTGAAAAAGGTCATTTCCTTCACTTTTCTAAGCAGTATCGTTTTAACTACAGGGAAAACATGGATGAGGATGTCAATGCAAGTCAGGATCGGAAAAGCGAGAGAGATGGATCTTCATTCATCTGAAATATTCATATGAAATCTTCTGCACTCAGCCAGCATTAGGAACAAGATTCAATTTTTTTTTTGAACATTTATGTCAAGTTAGCTAGTGATTTCACACACTCAAAAGCGCTTATATCAGACAATTGTTAGCTTTAATCAAAAGAGCCCTGCACTCTCTCGATGCTAAACATCAGAGAGATAGCCAGCAGGGATCGGGAAAGCAAGGCAAGACTTCATTACTCTCAGGTCTGTGTGGAGATCAACAACTTTCAGCACTCAGCATGAAAAATAACATCCGGATTTTCAACTCCAATTTACAATCAGCACTACTTACTGTACGGATCAGAGACTCGGCGTCGCGCTGTGTCACGAAGTCCGCTTAGAATGAACTACACACCTTCATCAACAGCTATATTCGCTCAATACTAGTCAATATGAGATGACTGACCAGAAAAAATCAGCAATTGTGAGGGATCTCTGGCAATGAGCAGACCAACTCAGCAGGGGCCAAATGCGCGACGAACATGCAGGAATAAATGGAGGTGGATTGGCATAGCCATACTCCGAGAAAACAACCCATCAAGTGAGTGACATCACATGCCAGGCCATCGCTCGAGTAGAACTTGAAGGGTAGGTGGAGAGATGGTCGTCAGTACGATGGTGATATGTAGGAGGTTATGCGAAGAGGAGGTGACAGCATGTGGGGAGACGTGGAGCTATGTGATGAAGCGGTTTGCAGAGAACTGAACGCAATAGAGACGTGTGGCTGAAGCCCTATGTTCCTCTATGAACTAAAGCAATTAATAATAATAAGAAGAACCGACCGCCGAGCAAATATGAGGAGTGGATTTGTAATGAATTGCTCACATGTTGAAAAGCTCCACTGAATGTTACCACGGAATTTGAACGGCAAACAAGGAGTTTAGCTTGGCTCCGTGGGTAACATGGAAGAGATTGTTTAAGGAGAAGCTGAGACCACATGGACAATCCATGGGAGTCAGATAAGGGGAAATACAGAGAACAGGATGGAGGGCAGATGTGTCGGTGAAGCCGTTTTCTCCTTTCAGAACCTATGAGAGTAATAATAATAATAATAAGCCCCCAGACAACGTCAAAGAGTTCGTACTAAGAGCCGACATGTTACCAGAAACTGAGCACATTATTTCAGCGTACTGATGAAGAGTTCCAAATTAAGTGGACGAAACAGCTGTCCAATACTCCCAGATTTTCCACTGGTTCTCTAACCGATATCAGCTCATGATGAAATCCTCCATTCAATCAAACAAAATCCTTACAAAACCAATACTTGAAAATGAATCTGATGCTCACTAGCGACTGGCCTTATTCAAGCAGTTACTTAGGGTTCTAGTGGGAGGCTGTGACCAGTCAGTTACAGCAGGCTGAAGGTGAGGCAGTAACTCGTCGAAGACGACTTCACAAAATGGTCTAGCTATGTCGTGAATTGGCAGAATTTAGAATTTATGAGCTGGCCATTGGATCGGGTCACAGAAGCTCAATGGTCTACAAACTCGGTAGCCTTGTAACCAGAAGGTCCTGGCTTGGAACGCAGTTAAGGTGGGTGTACTACCGAAGAGTCCTAAACTAGGCGGAGAAAACAGCTGACCGATATTCCCAGATTTTCCAGTGATCATCTAATTGATGTCATCTCATGAAGAAATCCTCCATCCAATCAAACAAATTCCCTACAACAAAATCAATAAATGAAAATAGGAAATACTTAAACAATTAAAAAAAACTCACATCACTCTATTTCTGTAGATAAATGTATGATTGTGGTGATTATTATTGTTCCTTAGATGACTGATTCTTTCATTGAACAAGGAAGATAATTCTTGTAAGTTTGAATTTTCTGGTAATTCTTTACTCCCTTCTAACAATTGATGATATTGATCACATTGATTCTCATTCAATGGTTTTAGATGGAATTCTGTAAGAGACTAAAATTGAATATATAACAAGAAGGATGAAAGGTTTTCGAAAAACATGCATATATATAAATATGTGTATACATATATATTCGCTTATTGAGGGTGGTCCAAGATTCAACTCTTGACTGGTGCACTGCTGAACCTGGCCTGGTCTGTAATAAGCCCAGCAAAAAGAGGGATGGTTGGGTAAAAATGAGAGAATCAGTCCTTCTTTATAGTGAAAGCACCTTCTCTACTCAAACTTGAAGGCTTGATTTTGAAGCCCTATGTAGAACCATTCGGAACTGCAAAGCCTCGTACTCTCAAGGTGTTTTATTCGATCTGTAATGGGCTCACGATCTGTGTACAGAGAGAAGGAATTATTAAGTTTATGTACGGAACAATTTTAACATATTTGAAAAGACTTCAAACGTTCTTCTGAGCATGTCCCTAGAAGCCTACGTCTTAAAGGAATAAACGCCTACAGTAGTTCCATTGCCAGACATTTCATCAATATTACTCATGAGGTGTGGACGTGGAGAAATCCTCTAAGATTATCGATATACAAAATAGTCTAATTCCATTCAAGTTTGCCGAGGCACAGGGTTATCAAACACCTGAAGCAGTTATCAGTCTTTACTTTCCATGTTAACTGGATGTCAATTAGATTTTCTTCCAGAGTCTTGATGAAGAGTCCCAAACTACGAATTCCCTTCTAAAGGATGAAACGAAGTTCCAAACCCTTATCAACCCAATAGATCTGAACGGAAAGGCTGAAAATCAGTTAACTAACACGCTTAAGGAACTGAGATAAAGTGGAGTAATCTCAAAGGCAGCCTATAGCTGTCTTAAACCTACTGGAAGTAATACTTCACGTCTGTACGGTCTGCCCAAAGTACATAAACCAGGACTTCCTCTTCGCCCAGTCCTTGATATGCCAACCTCCACCTACCATGGAGTGGTGAAGTGGCTAGGTGAACTCCTCCAACCGTTACACAAAATGGCAGTAAATCACAGTGTCAAAGACGTTTTTGAATTTATTGCTAACGTGGATGATATCAGCGTAAATGGGAAGCAAATACTTTCCTTAGATGTAGCATCACTGTTTACCAATGTACCGCTTATGGAGACTGTGGAATTCATATGCCAGCAGATACTAGAAAAACAGATCGACATCGGAATAGTCTGAAAGAGTTGCTTTTAAGATGTACTATGAATGTACACTTCATATTTAACAACCTTTACTACAGGCAAATCGACGGTATTGCCATGGGTTCTCCGTTGAGGCCAATTTTGGCAGATTTCTTTCTTGCCAAGATTAAAAATGGTCCATTGAAAAAAGTAATAGAAAAAGCTGATTCTTATTTTCGTTATGTTGATGATACGTTTATTATTCTTGATGTGAAAGCTGACAAGAATGAAATGTTAGACAAGTTTAACGATCCACATCCATCACCCTTCTTCACTTGTGAAGAAGAAGAACATGATGGTAGACTACATTTCCTTGATGTCCAATTGAGCAGAAGAGAGGATGGTTCACTAAAGAGAGATGTCTATAGAAAACCTACATCTGTAGGACAATATACACATTTCCAATCCAATACAAAGTCAATTTGGTCAGATACCGTCTCACGAATAGAGCAAGACGTATCTGTACAGATGACTCCCTAGAAAATGAGCTAGAAAACATCCAAAATACGTTGGTCCAAATGGGTTATCCTAGTAGATTTGTCAGGAGACACATGAATGCTAAGTACAATAAAGAGAAACCGACAACAGTTAAAAAGAAACAACTGTTCATCAAACTGCAATTTAATGGGACGTGGCTAGTGAAGTCTTACATCTGAGATTATCGAGAGCGATAAAACGGACTTATACTGCCGCCACCCTCTGTTTGTCATTTTCCAGCCGACCAATTTTGATTGTTCAAGTGAAAGATAAGCTTCCTATTCAAAAAATTTCCCACCCTTCCTTATTTTCCATCTCCTTCGTACTTTTCTGATATATTTATTTAAACTCTGATTATCGTTCCATTTCACCTTTTAAGATTTGACCTAATTTATTTAATTATTAAATTGTCTACATATACACATATCACTACCTTTTTTATTTTTATCGCCACCTGCATAAACTTTATTATCAATATTTTGTTATCATTATTATCATCGTTATTAACTTCGTTCAATTCCTTTACCATATTATTATTATTATTTGATCCACAATATCACCGTCATTGGTTTAAAATTTTTTTTATATAAGTCTGTGTAAATTAAAGTAAAGCCTGAAGAAGATCGAATTGAAAACAATATTAATCAATTTATTAATTATTTGTTATCATCTTATTCACCTCTTGTCTTTATTATGTAACGCCTTTGCGATTGAATCCAATATTTTTGTTTCAACTTAAGCATTCTGTGTATCAGATATACGAGTGTGGATTCTCAGCAGAATTTATTAAGTTTTGGACATTTGGTCAACTGACATTGCATAACATTTGCAGATATGTTTAAAATTGTCTTGTACGTAAATTCAATAATTTCATTAGGCTGTAGTGAGTGATGAGAAGCAAACGAAAAAAAATGATAATGTGGTGTGTGCTACTGATAAGATTTATCAGTAGTATATAAAAAGGCATATTCCTAATTGTGGTGGACTTACTGGATTATGCGTGAGACAGTGAGAAACGCGCATAAGACAGGGGAATCCTGGACCGACGTGAAGAACCTAGAAGACCTGGATTTCGCGCGTGGATGACTTATGTTTGATTTCACCGAAAATCGAAGACTTACAAGCGAAAACCGACAAACTGGTCGAAGAAGCAGACAGTGAAGACAGGACTTCATGTGAACATAGACAAAACGGAGATTATGAAAATAACCAGCAACAACAACAACAGCAGCAGCAACATCCAGTGCCAATCACCATCATCGGGAGGGATTTGAAAGAGGTTACTTCATTCACTTATTTCTCTAGTGAGCATTGTCTCAACTACAGGAGGAGGAACGGATGAGGATGTCAAATCGAGAATCCTCGAGAATTTTTTTTTATTATTTTTTATTTTCGATTACAGCTTGATTCCACACCGTATTTTTTGGGTACAACTAGGGAATTTTCAGCGTGGATATCGGTAGCCCAAATTTTGCAGGCCGACCATAGATATCAGGTGTGCGTCGGCGTGGGCTCGAACCCCAGACCATGTGTATGGTCGGCGAGAGTCCTAACCACTGTGCCACCGACGCACAGAAGGCAGGCGAGAAACCCATTCATCAACCTGAAACAACCAATCTGGAAATCTTCGTCACTCAGCCGGCATCAACAACAAAATTCGGTCGGATTTTCAATACACACGTCAAGTCAGTCAGTTCTTCTATACGGAACGGATCAGAAACTTGGCGGGCTGGTCAAAACAGCCTGTTGCAGACCTTCATCATCAACAACTGTCTTCGCTGGCCCTATACTGAAGATCAGATGGCCGGTTAGGAAAGAAGAGTGGGACGTCAGTGCAAGGGGGGTGACATGGAGGAAATCGTGTGAAGAGGAGTTGAAAGAGTATGGAGTAACATGGATGGAGGTGAAAAGTACATCAGAAGGAAGACAGAAGTGGTAAGTGGATACGTGCAGTTCAACCCCTATGCTCCACTAGGAACTCAAGGGAATAATAATAATATAAAGAGACGCTCATAAGCATAAAAGCATCAAATTACACGGAGATACATTTGGTGTCAGAGAAAACAAACGATTTAGCGCTGCGGAGATTTATGGGAGATGCTAGAGGAACAAAAAGAAGAACAATACAAAGGAAGGACAGAAGTAGCACAACACGAAAGATCTGTGCAAATGATGTGTTGTAGATAAGGTGTAGATAATTTGACGTTGCACATAAACATTCCTTTACCAAGTCTTCCGTCTTCTACCGTTTCATATAGTGTTGCTGCCTGCAGAGAATGAAGATTCCATGGTCGGCCACTTTCGAGGAAGGAGACAGAAGGAGTTTCTTGCAGGACTTTGAAGCGTGTCGTTGAGTTGGTGGGTGTCAGTGATCCGTTGGCGAAGGCGGTATTGTTGGGGACGCTGCTGAGAGGTTGAGCAAAGGCGGCGCTCATGCCGCGCGGAGACCTGGAAGGTGTTGATTCGACGATTAGGGGCATAGTTTGACAGCCAGACGGAAAGGCAGCTGGCGACGCAGCAGTTCCCTGTCGTGGACCTGGGATCAGGTAGATACCCGGTAGTGTTGGCGTTGAAGCTGACGAATCTACTTCGTTATGTACTCCCCATATTGGATGAAGAGTCAGAGTCACAGTTATTGGCGTCCCAGTTCATCGAGAGTGTCCAGACCACATTTCTCAGCAACTACAAGTGGCTTATGCAGCGCAAACCATGGACACTTGTGTGCTAGCCAAGAAGACAAGACAGATATTGAGCACAATGGTAGCGGTAATGAAGCCACCAAGATCAAACAAATAAGAACAGAAAAAATTGAAGATTTGAAGCATGAAGTAGTGGCCCTACGAATTATTGACCGGAAAGTCCAATGCTTTCATTGTTATAAATCAGGACACACTGGAGGATGTACTGCCCAGAAAGAAGAAGAAAAGAATATTTCAGACAGTATATTGTGTGTTAATTCTCGCCTGTAAGACTAAAAGTATTGTGGGCTCCCAGGGTGGAGGAGCGGCATGTATTCTAAGTTTCGAGGGAGTGACCAAGAAGTAGTGCGTCTAATAAATACAGGAGATGTCACTTTCACTAACAGACAGGTAAGAATCTATGTCAGAGCGTCATACCATGTTCATTGACAGTTCAAGCGATAGGTGGACACGTGTCAAGCATCGCAGGCATGTCGTTTTTTTATTGGTGGTCGCAAATTAACGTTTCTGTACATTACTGTGTCCAAGTAACGCCGAACAATATTTGGGGCTGCTTTTCTGAGAGAGGATGGTGCCGTAATTAACACGGAGTACGAAACTATCAGCATGTATGAGTAACTGAGATAACAGGAGTTAAAGCGTCGAAAGCACAGAATATGACAATGTTAAAATAAAGAATACAATCATCTGTTCACTGGATATAGGAACTTCTACGGTTACTGTGAAAAGATGGGGCATGAAATTCCACTGAGTCGTCAGGAATTAGCACCATTCACAACGCGAAGATTCTCATGTCATCTAGAAGGTAAAGTCAAGTGACAAGTGAAGGAGATGTTACACGATGATATTATTGAAGAAGCTGACAGTCCGTATAACTGCACATATCAAGTGGAATAAGTATATGAAGATTCTATAACTGGTATTGAACCTTGGCGAAGTCGACAATAAACTTATTCTGAACCTGATTCTTTAGCTAATACTTTTAAACCAAATTTTTCGAAACTGATCTCAGCTCATGATGAAATCCTCCATCCATTTAGATAAAATCCCTACAAAACCAATACTTGAAAATTAATCTGATGCTCACTGGTGACTGGCCCTATTCAGGCAGTTAACCTGGGGTTCTTTTGGGAAGCCGTGATCAGTCAGTTACAGCAGGCTGAAGGTGAGGCAGTAACTTATCGAAGAAAGCATTGCGAAGTGGCTGCACTATGTCATGAATCGACAGGAGTTAGAACTCATGAGCCGTTAGATCATATCCCAGTGGCTTGATGGTCTACAAGCTTGGTAGCCTTGTAATCAGAATGCCCTGGGTTCGAACCTCGATGGGTGCGTACTGCTGAAGAGTCTCAAGCTAATCGGACAAGACAGTTGTTCAGTACTCCATGCTGGTTTTCCGATACTTCTCTAACTGATGTCATCTCATGATGAAATCCTCCAACCAAAAATTTTTGACAGTCCTAAACTTTTCAAGAAAATGTTTTATGAAAATATAAAAATTATAAACTGAAAAGTCTCAAGTTAAAACCCCCCAAGTTCTTATTATTTGTTTAGTTTTTGGTACAAAGAAGAACTACAAATACTCTTTGATGAGTTGAATTAATTTCCTGTGGAAGGTAAAACAGTAGGATTCAAGGATCTCATTTTAATTCAATTTGGTTGATATTCAGGCTTTGTTGGCTTGTGGCCGCAGTGGTCTAGTGGATAATACTTTGACGTTTGAAATAATGGCTACTGGGTTCGAGTCTCTCAGGGGAATACCATCCATCAGTCGTTCAGCGGAGAATGTAGCTGCATCTAAGTGACGAGTCTCAGACAGGACGAAATGCCCATCGTGGATTCCATTGCTAGTTACTATCCTCTGCCCCCCCCCCGAAATTATTTACGATACCTCACCTTGATGTGTTTATATCAAATTGACTGACAGTTTCCACAATAAAACTTAAAGTGTCGAGGAGTTATTTATTAGGCTAAGGAATCATGACGGTCACTTGTCCAACAAGCTCTGAAACAAAACAAAATGGAAGAAATTTAGTGAAGACCCTCAGCCACAGAGTTAGTTAGAGCTACATGCTCAGAAGAAGTCATTGAAGATGAATTAAGCATTGTATATGATACTTTGATCGAAAATACCTATCCTGTAAAATTTGTCAAGAAACGCATGACTACTCACTATCTGTAAACAAGAAGCCACTTTATATACGACTACAATTCAAGGGCGATCGATTTACCAAGTGAGATAATTACGAGGAAATTAAGAAAATCAGTTCAAAGAACTTTTAATGCTTATTCTCTCTCTTATTCTCTACACGACCGATGGTGGTACCTCGACTGATAGATGAAGTACCTAGACTAGCTAGTCACTTCTAATTGTATCTACCAATTCAACCACGCTTGTGGTAGAGTGAATTATATTGGCCGTTGCTCTAGGAACTTGATTTTTCGTGCTCACTCAGGAACATTTCCCAGTATGGCTAAGTAAAATCATTAACAGTTCGATATTGGACCATCTAGTGAAAACCGACCACAAAACCAGCAAGCCAGCGTGGAAGAATCCTTCTCTATCATCTGCCGAGTGCCAAATAAGTTGCCAATATCATCGAAGCATCGCATGCTTCAAACAGCAGGGGCTGTTGCAATTTGCCTCAAACAACCAGTGCTCTGTGTTCAACAGAAGTAAGTTCTGCTCCTACTATTGCCCTGGCTGGCCTTCAGTAGAGACTATAAACTCATGAATTTGTAGTATTATCTTTCCTAATTTTTCTGACATTCAGCTTATTTTATGTTGATGCTATTGAACTGTAATCCATTGGTATTATTATTGATTCGATGTTATTTAAACAGCAACATTAATGTTGTCCATAACACTAATTCATTTATTCATTCATTCATCATACTGTGTATATATAACTGTAGAGCCTGATGACAAAGTTATCGAAAAGAGTACTCTTTGTTCAATGTCCATTCTTTTGAAAAAATTTAATGGGCATTTTTAATAAGTCAAATCGAAAAACTCCTGCTTCACCTAATGGCTTCATTCCATATTGGTGTGCTCTAAAATATTTCAATAATAATTCTTCATTACTTTATAAATCATTTCAAGTCTGTTTCTCTGTTTATCAGTTATAAATACACTAAGAAACACGAACCTATCATGGATAGATCTGAAAACCTTTCAGGTTATAAGGCCACCCCGTTGACCATTCACCCACTGGGATGGATTTTAAACGCCTATGAATTCTTACTTCTGCCAGTCTGTCAGTTTCATCTGGATTTTGTTTTGTTTGTCTCCACAAGCTGAGAATGCAGCTTGTTTGTCTCTTGACTAACCAATATGCAGGATGATATTGGGAAATCCAATGATAAACATGCATAGTGGTATACCATATGGAACTAGTCCGGCAGGAGCAGTCATAATAATAATAGTAATAATAATATCTTTATTCTGAACATTATTTATAAAATGTACACAATTTTCCATCTTCGTACAGTATCTTCAAGTAGAACATTAATTAACTCACAGTAAATCTTTCCTGTGATATAATGGCCGCTGAGCTGCAGGATAAATCATTCCGTTGTGATGATATATCTGCTTTGTTTCCTTCTTCCAAGAAATCCACGATATCGATCTAGTTGAAAGTCAATTGTAAGATGTTCAGAAGTACGTTTCGAGACCCAGTGAAACAACTGAAGAAAAGTTATCTCATGTATTGACTGGAACAAGTTGCCAACCCCACAATCAGGCCCCCACCCAAGTTTAGTAGGAACTTGAGAATCAGCCTGGAGCTTGTAAACATTTGAAAATACGCCCGCAAGAGTAGATAATACCCGTATTAGAGGTCAAAACTTAATCGATTAAAACAAACTGAACGAGTGTCAATATATATGCAACTATTATTACTATTTCCTTTAATTCCTAGAGGAACATAAAGCATCCGCTGCGCGTCTCCTGTGCGTTCGGTTCTCCGCCAACGTTTACACCTGGCCCCAGGTCTGCTCACATGCTTTCATCTCCTCTTCACATGACCTCCTACAAGTCACCCTTGCACTGACAACCAACTCTCTGCTTCCATTTCGGGTTCCACTCGAGCAATGGCTTGTCTAGTGATGTCACTTGATCGATTGTTTCCTTAGAGTATGGCCAGCCAATATAAACCTCCATTTCTTCCTGTCTGTTTGTTGCACAATCGGTTCCTGGTTGGTTCGCTCTTTGCAAGAGATTCCTGTTGCTGATCTTTTCTGGCCGGCTATTTGATCTTGAGTATTGAGCTAGCCAGAGTTTCATGTTGCTAATTCGTTCTAAGAAGCCTGCCGGCCATTTGATCTTCAGTGTGGAGCTGCCTGTTGGAAATGCTTTTCGTGACCAACTGGCCAAGTTTCTGGCCCACACAGAAGAAGTGACTGATGCACTTGACATCAGTGTTGAAAATTCGAATCTTGTTCCTTATGCTGAGTGACAGCAGAAGATTTCCAAACTGGTTTCAAGTTGATGAAGGCGTATTTGCCTTTCCAGTTCTGGTTGGCTAGCTGGTTTTGATATTTTCATCCCTGCAGTCACCTGTATTTGAAATGATGCTTCGTAGATAAATGAAGGAAGAAAGCAACCTCTGTCAAATCTCTCCCACTTATGGCGATTGGTGATGGTTGTTGTTGCTGTTTGTGGTGGTGGTGGCGGCGTTTAGTGTTGGTCTTCGTCACCTCTTTCTTCTTTGTGCTCACCTGGGGTCCTGTCTTCACCAGTTGTTTTTTCAGCCAGTTTTGGTTGGTTTTCGCCTGTAAGTCATCGAGTTTGTATGCCAAAAGGTACGAAACACAGGTCCTAGGCTTCCTTTTGATATTCTTCAAGCATCTAATGTAGATTATTTACTGAATTTTGTCAGGTTTCCATTCAGTCAACTTTCATTCATTCTGGAAGTGTCTGTGATTCCCATTATTTTTAGGATAATAATTATTATTCTCTTTGGTTTCTAGTTGAATATAAGGGGGGGGGAAGGCTTCATCCGTCCATCTCCACTTCACTCAGTTCTCTGATAACTTTTTTGAGCGGACTCCATGTCTTTCCATAAACTATCTTCAAATGATCTCCTGGGTGTTGGTCTCCGAAACACACCATACTAGCCACCACCAGTAACTGACCTGCCTAAATTCTAATATTTGACACTATATATCACCTTAACAAGTAAACCACAATGCAAAACTTACGAAATCCTTAGAAGTGAGGACGGAAGTGAGGCAAGACTGTCTACTATCGCCAATGATCTTCCTGATTGCAGTAGAGTGGATAATCCGACAGACAACGGGCAATGAGGAAACAAACAGAAAATGGACTCACACAAAGACAGACTTGGAGGATCTGGACTTCGCCGATGATGATATATGTCTGATTTCACACAAACTAGAAGACAGGCAAGTGGAAAGCAACAAGTTGACAGAAGAAGCATCAAAGATAGGACACCATTCAAGTGAACATAGATAAAACAGAGGTGATGAAGATTCCTGGCCAACACCAACAGCAACAACCACAACAACAACAGACAACAATCAGACAGCATGAATGAGAGGAACCTGAAAGAAACAACCTCCTTTACCTACCCACCTGGGAAGCATCGTTTCAACTACAGGCGGACGGCGGACAAGATTTCATTGCTCTCAAGTCTGTGTGGAGGTCAACCCTCAGAATTCAGCATGAAAATGAGAATAAGATCCGGTTTTTCAACTCGAATGTGAAATCGGTGCTGCTATAGGGATCAGAGATGCGGTGCATCATGAAGAGCACCTCAAACAAACTACAAACTTTCATTTTTTTGAAAATCCCCATTTAGTCATATGAAAAAGAGAAGACGTTCAGCGAAGAGACTCTTTTCGGCGAATTCATTCACATAGCGCTGTACAATCGCATTTATATATAATTATTTGTGTGTGTGTACATGAGGTTTGTCAAAATTAGATAATAAAAGAATGATCTAATATAGAAACAAGGTTAATCAGACTGCAACTAAAGTAAGATTGAGTTAGTTAGTAAGTTAGAGGACGTAATATTATTGACTAAAATGTTTCAACTTAGGTCAGGGTAGCAACAGAGGTAATTACAGGTAGAGAGACTAAGTAGAAGTGAAGTAGATAATAATGCCATTTAAATTAGAAATGAAATTGAGCAATTAAGTTGGATGACGTAACATAAATGACTAGAAATTGAGCGTTGGTCAGGTCAATTAAAGTGGTAGTGAGGTGTAGAAATTAAATCGGGTGGGGGTAGAGAACAAGAAAGTTGAAAATGCAAAATATTACAATTAAGAAGACAGAATAATACCAATGAAGAGACAGAAAAAAAAAAAAAATTAGGTAGAATTTACCTTTCAGGTAATAAGGTAGGTTAAGTCCATTGTAAGTGTAGTGATTGAACGAACCTCTTCTGTATGCAGAGTTCAGGGCTTAGCAAGTGAATCGCCATTGCTTCTGCAGTTTGAAGAAGTCTGATTCGTACACCTTTTGGAAGACTACTTCTTACTCTGTAGACTACTTTGAAGTTTGTTTGGGGTGCAGCTTGGTGTCCGGATTCTATCAGATGTTCTAAGATGGAGCTGCGGGGACATCGTTTTTCTCCTTTGTAAAACCATGCTGGTAAGTGTTCGGTGATACGCTTGGAAAGCGAACGCTGGGTACGGCCGACATACCTGGCTCCACACGAGCAGGTGAATTGGTAGATACACATTGATGAGGCCAACAGTGGTAGCTTATCCTTCACGTTCACATGAATCATAGGTTTTGTGGAGAAAGTTAGTCGTAGTTCAGCTGCGAAGAAGGTCTTCTTGAGTGAGCGCGACAGTCGATTTTTTAGTGTTTCCGCAGATATATCTCCATTGAATTGAAGGTTCATGTAGAGCGGTTTCTTCGGGACGCTATGCATGGGCGGCTTTTGTGGCCTAGGATTCATAGATTTTGCAATAAATCGTTCTGGGTAACAATTCTCGACGAGGATTCTCTTGAGATTGTCCAGTTCATCTTCTACGGTGTCCGGGGTACAAATTCTGCGAACTCTGTTGCTAAGTGAACGGATCAGGTTCCGTTTGGTGTATAGGGGTACCCAACTGTGGAAGTTAATAAGCTGTCCGTTCCATGTTGACTTTCTGTAGATAGATCTTTTCAGTGTTCCATCCTGTTCTCGTCTTGTTAGTTGGATGTCAAGAAAGGATATTTTAGAGTTGGACTCTTTCTCCAGCGTGAACTGAATTGCGGGGTGGCACTTGTTAAACGACTTCAGGATGTCGTCTAGATTCTCTTCATTGTTGACGATAATGAAAGTGTCGTCGACGTATCGCTTGTAGATTCCGAAGGTATCGATCATTTTCTTCATGCATGTGTTTTCGAGTTTTGCCATGAAGAAACTTTCATTTACAACTTTGTTCGCTTAACACTAGTCAAGATCAGATGGCCAGCCAGAAAAGATCAGCAACAGGGATCTCTGGCAATGAGTGAACCAACTCAGTAGAAACCAATTTTGCAACAAATAGGCAAGAAGAAATGGACATGGGCATGAGGAAACCAGCAAATGATATCACTAGACAAGCCAACGCTCGAGTGGAACGCGAAAGGGAAGCGGTGAGTTGGTGATGTAAAGGTGATGTAAAGAGGAGATGAAAGCATCTGGGCAGACTTAGAGTCAGGTGAAAACTCTAGCAGAGAATCGAACGCAGTGGAGACGCTTGGGTGGAGCCCTATGTTCTTCTAAGAAGTGAAGGAAATAATAATAATAATAATATCACCTTTATTCATTTTTGTAATGGCTTATTGATTCAGTTACGTGATGCTGGGGATTTAAAGGAGAAATAAGATGGTTACACAGTGGTGGATCTACAAGAGTATTGATTATTATTATTTCACTCGAAGACTTCTTATATAACAATGGAAATTCCATAACATGTATCAACGTAGTGAATTGAATTTTTGATTTTCCCGTCGTTTGTTTGAACCGAAGTGCTCGGTCTCAGGTTGACATGTCGGCTTCTTGTGCAGATGCTTCGACGATGTCTGGGCATTTAATTAGTATACAATTGGTGGATGGTGGCTAGCAGTGGAATCCAGGATGCGCATTTCGTCCTATTTGGGACTCGTCAGCTGGATGTGCCTTCATTTCTCAGTTAGTGATGACGTTCCCACCGAAGCTCAAACCCAGTGCCCATAGTTTCAAACGCCAAAGCGTTATCCACTAGACCACTTGGGCCACGAGAGTCACCTCTTGTGCAACGCGTCATAATAATTATTGAATTGAATTTTTGATTTTCCCGTCGATTGTTTGGCTCTCGTGGCCCAAGTGTTCTAGTGGATAACGCTTTGGCGTTTGAAACTATGGGCACTGGATTCGAGCTTCGGTGGGAACGTCATCACTTACTGAGAAATGCAGGTACATCCAGCTGACGAGTCCCAAATAGGACGAAATGCGCATCCTGGATTACACTGCTAGCCACCATCCACCGATTGTATGTATCAACGTATTCTGCGTAAAGAAACCAGTGTTATTGTTAGAATGCTATTCTTACTTACTAAGTATGTCAATTGCTAAATGATAAACTGCTCGCCTTGCCTAAGTGTAGATCTGAGGATGACATAAAAGGAGATTATCCGGTGAAGA